ATAACCTCCAGTGCAGTGTATATTGTAAATTCTGAAGTTTACAAACTTCTATCGCCCACCGAAAAAGGCCGCCATCTTTTAAGCGGGTGGCGAGGCAATTCGTATCAATAATTTTTCACACCCTTTTTATTCAAAGATTTTTTTAAAGTTTGTCGAAACGTTGGCATAAATATATTGAAAAAAGTAAAACTTTATTCAATAGTACCAGTCCACGATTAACTAGGCCTATTTATTCGTCATTTTTTATCAAGGTACCCCAAACAAGAATACATTGGCGGCCAATTAATATTACGGGTATGATTTGAATCGCAACCTCAATCGTTTTTATAAAACGTCGTTTGATTGGACGCTTCTGGTAGCTGATTTATAACATCATTACTGATTAGTTAAACAGTAACGCGAGCGCCAAATTTTCAATAGATTGAAAGGAAGGAATACGTGCATTGCATTGTTAGAAGATTGTCGGTAGATCTTGATTCTGTCAACATTTTTTAATGGAGTGTTAACTATTATACATGTATTCATAGAAAGGAAGGACTGCAATACAGAAAGCATGTGGTAAGAACATAATTTTTTAATTATTTTGGTTCCAAATTTGTTGATAAGCACTTGTTGCATGCATGCAAAACAAACTTGATTTAAAAAAATATAACTCAGAGAGAAATATAATTTAAGTTATTGTTAAATGAAATGAATTTAATGAAATATGTTTTAAAAAATTATTTTAAAAAACTTGTGTGTGTTGCTCTCAAAATATTTTTTTTTAATTTTATAATAACAAGAGGCCCATGGGCCTTGAATCGCTCTTCTGATAACCTGTGCAACCTATCACTTCTATTTGAACCCTCGAAGTATCCTGTATATTTAGATAAACCCTTGAAATTCCAATTCACACTCTGAGAACCCAAGATGATTCTAAGCCAATTAGTACCTGAGAGTTGGTCATGGTGACCTACTTATCACTTGTCATTCTCTAAAGACCCATCAACTAAGTTTGATGATTCTAAGCCAATTAATACCTAAAATATTTCTTAAAATTATAACCATAAAATTTTATAAGTAGGTCAAAGTGACCTACTTTTCAATTGTTGTACTCCAAGGACCCAAGATGCATCAATTGACAAAGTTTGATGATTTTAAGCCAATTAGTACCTGAAATATTTAATTAAAGCCATAAATTTTCAAAAGTAGGTCACGGTGACCTACTTTTCAGTTGCTGTACTCCGAGGACCAAAGATACATCGACTGACGAAGTTTGATGATTCTAAGCCAATAAGTACCCAAAATATTTAATTAAAGCCATAAATTTTCAAAAGTAGGTCACAGTGACCTACTTTTCAGTCAATCTACTCCCAAAGATGCATCAACTGACAAATTTTGATGATTCTAAGGCAAATAATTCCTGAAAATATTAAATACAGCCATAAAATTTCAAAAGTAGGTCACCGTGACCTACTTTTCAGTTGTCGTACTCCAAGGACCCAAGATGCATCAACTGACAAAGTTTGATGATTCTAAGCCAATAAGTACCCAAAATATTTAATTAAAGCCATAAGTTTTTAAAAGTAGGTCACCGTAACCTACTTTTCAGTTGCTGTACTCTGAGGACCCAAGACGCATCAATTGACAAAGTTTAATGATTCTAAGCCAATTAGTACCTGAAATATTTAATTAAAGCCATAAATTTTCAAAAGTAGGTCACAATGACCTACTTTTCAGTCAATCTACTCCCAAAGATGCATCAACTGACAAATTTTGACGATTCTAAGCCAAATAATTCCTGAAAATATTAAATACAGCCATAAAATTTCAAAAGTAGGTCACCATGACCTACTTTTCACTTGTTGCACTCCAAGGACCCAAGACACATGAACTGACAAAGTTTTATGATTCTAAGCCAATTAGTACCCGAAATATTTAATTAAAGCCATAAATTTTTGCAAGTAGGTCACGGTGACCTACTTTTTAGTCGACCTTCTCCGAAGACCCAAAAGTCATCAACTGACAAAGTTTGATGATTCTAAGCCAATTAGTACCCCATATATTTAATTAAAGCCAAAAATTTTCAAAAGTAGGTCATGGTGACCTACTTTTTTAGTCGACCTACTCCGAAGACCCAAGATGCATCAACTGACAAAGTTTGATGATTCTAAGCCAATTAATACCTGAAATATTAAATTATAGTCATATAAATTGAGAAGTAGGTCACGATGACCTACTTTTCAGTTGACCTTTTTTGAGGACCCAAGATGCATCATCTTACAAAGTTTTATGATCATAGAACTTAAAATGTCCAAATAATGCCTCTAAAATGCTTTGAAATCAAATGCCTGCAAAGTTCAAAAAGTAGGTCACTGTGACCTACTTTTTAATAAATATGTTTTATGGCCCCAAGATGCATCATCTTACAAGATTTAATGATTCTAAACCTCTCGGTATTCAAATTAATGACCTTAATTGTTTTGAAATAGATAAGCCATAAAATTCAAAAAATAGGTCAAGGTGACCTACTTTTTAGTTGACGTACTTTGAGGACCCAAAATACATCAACTGACAAAGTTTGATGATCATAGGCCTTAAATTGTTCAAAATATGCCTTTAAATCATTTTGAAAAAGAATGGCCGCAAAATTTAAAAAGTAGGTCACCGTGACCTACTTTTGAGTCAACATGATATGAGGTCCTTAGATACATCAACTGACAAGATTTGATGATCCTAGTCCTTATAGTAAGCAAAATATCAACATTTTAATAAAATGTAATTTTTGGTCAACTTTGAAGTGACCTTGAGACCACACCCTTTGCCCCAGGGTAAATCCCCATGCAAATTTTAATCTACAACATATCCTCATCCTTTTGTGTAAGTTTGGTTATAATCTGCCCAGTGGTTCTTGAGAAGAAGATTTTTTAGCAACCAGTACTTTTGTTTCTATTTTCCTAATTATCTCCCCTTGTTAAAGGGTCACAACCCCAGTTTTAGTATAAAAGGGAGCCCTTGGGCCAAGGATACCTTGTGACAAATTTGACAATAATTGGCCAAGGGGTTCTTGAGTTATGGCCCATATTCTAAAAAGTTTACGCACACCGCACGCCGCACACCGCACAAATGGCCATAGCATTAGCTCTTTGAGCCTTTGGCTCAGAAGAGCTAAAAAATGGAAGGGGAATGCATACATACCCCTGTGTGCCCACGGTCTAGCTCTAATTGAAGAAAAAAAGGAAACTTGATTCTAAATTGAAACTATTAAAAATCATTTTTAAATTTTCTTTACAGATTAGAACAAATTGACTTTGACTCGTCCCTGAGGATTCCTGACTCTTCAAAAATTAAAGACCAAGTGTTCTGTATAAAAGACAGGTAATTCCTATATTTTTTCTGGCCTCCAGTTGCAGCATCACCGCAATTCCCATATCATTTAAAAGTATCCTGTTCCCTGTAATATTTATTTCTATTTGGCATATCATTTATATACATGTATATGTATTTTAAGGGAGAGTGAAGAGAAAAACAAGGCCTATTGTAAAAGAGCATAAGAAAAAAATTACCACATCATGATTTAAAGGACGGATTTCAATTTTGGATGAATTAATGAGTGATCCAGCAGACACCCATAGAGAAAAATTCATTTTTGGAATGTCAAGAAGCAAAGTTGACAGGGATAACAAATGCACCACAGGCATCTGACTTACTTGAACGTGCCAAAAGAAGAACACAAGCGTTGTTTAAGATTCTGAAACTGATCCAGGCTGTACATGTAATTGTTTAAGAGTGTGTTGGCTAAAAGCTGTATACATTTATAAATTCAGTGAATTAATACATAGCATTTAGTTTAGAATATTGTAGTCATTATTTATATAATATCAAATTTTGAATAGAATATTTATGTACATGTATTTTGAGGGTACTCACAGTAATTTGGCCTTCTGTCAAATTATGTAATTCAAGAATAATATTCTTAAAAAGTTCCTGAAATGTTCATGAAAGATCATAAAATTGGACACTATGATTTCATGAATTCTATAAGCAAGTTCATGAATTTTCAAGAGTAGTAAGTAGTTCATGAACAACCCACTATTCATGAATATTCTTTAACTTGGTTTTCATGAATAAAATTCACGAAATCATGAATGTCCAATTTTAACTTCATAGGATCTTCATGAATATTTCATGAGCAGATTCAAAAAAATAATTCATGAACTTTTCTTAAAAGTTCAAGAATTATTCTTGATACTTTCGCAGGGGTAGTTCTAACATGTATTTCTGTATTATTTGAAAAAAAGTGTGTTAGAAATAAATATTTTCGTATTTCTGCTGAAGTTGGTAAATTAATTGACTTCGGTTATTATCTATCCATTAATGATTTGTTGTCTTTAACATAACAACAAAATGTTGCAGTGCTTGAAGCATCTGTATATTGCCTGTATTTAAATTTAATTTTTCAGCATCGTTCTACATAGGTACATACATGTACTTATAAAAACATTTATTTTCCAGATAAATTTAATAAATAACCTAACAGCTAAGTAAGAATAATAAAAATAAATATTGTAGATATTTTTTTCTTTAAACACGATATGTTAATTATTAAATTTGTAAATCCTTACTTAAAAAAAGATAAGTCCATTCACTTTGGAGTTCCGAATGACAATAAAGACTGAACGATAAGTGAACGCTGAACGCAAGGTGAACGCAAAGTGAACGAACGAAGAGCGAATGCTGAACGCTTTGTGAATGGTGAACGCGAGCGCACGGTGAACGCTGAACGCAAAACTGTGAACGGAGAGCGAACGGTAAACGCACGGTGAACGCACGGTGAGCGCACAGTGAATGAACGGTAAGCGAACGGAAAAATGGGAAAGTAGAACGTTTCAGGGACTGTAAGTAGCTGAGTAATTGAATTGTTTATAATAACAAAATACAAATATATTACAGAAACACAATAGAATACATCAATCATGATTTAATTCATAATATGATATATAATGAAACTGTATTCTTACCTTTTCCGTATTAAATTCAACTCTTTTTAACTGAGCAACTTGAAGAAGAAAATAAGAACAATGAAATTATCAAGAAATAATTATTAAAAAATAAATATTTACATGTATCATTAAATTTGAATAATTTTCATTGAGTTTCCAATTTTTTAATATTATTTCTTAGCTCTAGAGATTTGAATAAATTTGAATCTCTTAAGGATGTCTGCTTATTAATACGTGTGCCTAATCATGGAATATATCAAGGGTCAAAATTAGCCAGAAATAATTGTAAAATGCATGTTAATTTAAAACAAGAGGCCCAAGGGCCACATCGCTCACCTGAGCACTCTGGTTAGGAAAAAGCAGAAATCAGTTCAGTCTTGAAAAGTTTTGATATAAAAGTGGTTCGAGGGGGGATGGGGTTAATTTGAACTTGAATCTATACTTCAAAGGGATGCTTTTGAATTAATATGACAAATAATGGCTATGCTGTTCTTAGGAAGACAATTTTTAACAGGGAATTATTTAATCTTAGATTAATTATAAATCCTGGATTTTCAGAAAATTTTGAAATCAGGTGTAGTGCCTGAAGACTAACTTAGTTTTGCTTGAAATTATCAGTTTTCACTGTAGTAGATACTGTCTAAATGGGTAAGTGTGTATCTAAGAAGCTAATATAATTGAATTATTGTTTAATTTTATTCATTCATGTTTTTATTGTGTTCCAATTTCATATTTTTATTGTTTATTTTCAGTCATAATTATTATTTCTAGGGTAAATGTCTTTTATGCAGTGTATCTGGTGTTCTACTGTTGTATCTGTAGAAAATAATGACGCATGCGCAGATGGGGGTTAGTCGATGCCTGGCATCAAAAAACGACTAACCCCCATCTGCGCATGCGTCATTATTTTCTCGCTAAATTCTGCAGTTTTCTGCAATCAAACGGCGATATTAAAATAATCCATCGAATTTCCGTCATTAAATTATGCTACAACTCCACTGTTATCGCAAAACGTTCCTTCCGAGTTGTAGATATCCGTTAAACATTGCCAACAACGCACTGCTTCATAGTCCCCATGAATGAAGACCCGACTGAAGAAATGACTCGCAGCAAACGAAAATACATACCGATGCGTATTCAGCACGACAACTGCAAACACTTACATATGTTTTCACAATCGTAACAACTTTTAAATCCAACTAAATGGTCAGAAAAACGCAGCGATGTAAACACTACCAAATTTACAGCAGCTTCCTTATGCAGACAACCACTCCTCGACGTCACAGTTGTAAAATACGACGTCACAGATACACTGTTTTCCCGAACTTTTCTAATGCAAAATGGCGATTAAGCATTGTACGTAATATAAGGTATACTGTCTTTGTTGTTCAGCACACGTACTTTTAATTGTTTGTAAAAAGTTCTCCTTTAACCAGGTAATTGAATATCACAAGAGGAAAGGGAAGTGGAATGTCTTAAGTACAGAAATCGGTCTTTGAAATTTGAAGATCCATGATCCGCCCACTTGTTTCACCTCCAGCTAAGAGGTGCATATTTAGTGTGCAAATCGAGAGTTTTAAAGCCATTGTGACGTCACCCTCAATAATTTGTAACAGATCAGTGAAATCTCACACATGAATCAATAAAAAAAATAATAATAAAGAGTTAAACTGTGGAAAACATTAGTTTGAAGTCTTGTGTACTATAAACAAATTATTACTGATTAATCAGGTGTAAGGCACAACAATCCTCCACAAGGCAGCATTAATATAGTAGTACTTGATGTACATGTAATACAATATGATAGTTAGTACTTGATGTACATGTAAATATACTGTAGATAATCCGTTTATTTGAGATACCCAACCTGCCCCCGAAATAAATTTGTATTGAACCCTTTTATTGATTGATTTGTGTATGAGCAAGAACTAACTAGAAGTGGGTTTACTGGAACGGGGGGGGGGGGGTGACTGGAATAGGGTGGGGGTCGACTTCTTATCCTTTATACAGGTCCCTTAGCAAATAGCAAATGGATTTCTCTTAAAATATCTATAAATCCCCAGCGATTTTATATGATACTGGATAATGATCCCCTTTTTTATATTAAATATTTTTTAAAAAATTCTAGATACCTACCCCCACCAGGAAAAATGCTCCCGTATACTCGGTGAAATTCGTAATTTTCTCTATTAAAATATCGAAAGTCACACATGCTTTTGTTCACACTTTTTTTATAGAGTCTTATGCAAGCAAAATTAAGATGTATTGTAAGAATTTTTAGTGTGTTTCTGTGTGTATTTGTGTGAAAGGGGGAGGGGGTGTAGGGGTTGTTGCGGACATCCTCCCCAACATCCCCTTGAAATCCTCCATTGAGCACAGGTGCAAGAGACATTTCTATAAATATTTACCGTTGGTTCATCCGAGATATATGGATATGAAATCGCTTTTAATAATTTTTAACTAGACTTTATACAGTGCAGGAAACTAATTTTGTTACAGCATCGATGCTGATTTGAATGCTTCCTTTGCTTGCTGATTTGAATACTTCCTTTGCTTGCTGATTTAATGCTAGTAATCCTTATCCTGATGCTGTTTTATAATTAGGTCAATGCTACCGGAAGTAGCATCATGCTACCGGAAGTAGATAATGAATTTCAGCATTGCCGTTTAAAGCAATAAAAGTGCCTTTTACAATTATTTGATCATAATATCTCACTATGTATCAATAATGTGAATACTTTAACCAATATTCTTTCTTTTTTTTTTAATTTTTTACTGAATTAAAACTCATTGATTTTCTGATGCTAGTAGGATAATGCTGATTTTATGTAGGTCAATGCTGGTTTTATCCTTTGCTTGCTGATGCTGATCCTGGTAATGCTGTTTTTTAAATGCTGATGCTAGCTCGATCCTGATGCTACTAATGCTTATGCTAATGCTGGTTTATGTAACAAAATTAGTTCCCTTCACTGTAGATTATAAGTTCGACTAAAATCTTAGCGATATTGTCACTTGCCGAAAAATCGAAGTATATGGAATGAGTATAAAGATATGTTACTGTCGACGTATTTTAAGTACATGTATGATATCCCCCGAATAAACTATTAGTCGCTCCATTCTTTCCCTATAATTTCTAGTAGATCTGTCATTAACGGGGAAAAATTCTTCAAATATACAAATGTAATACATGTAGCACATTTCCATCAAAACTCTTGTGCTACACATATCTATTTAATTATGAATAGCAATATAGAGATATAACATGCTCATCAGTTTTACTAGAACTATTATACCTGCCAGGCCACCTGTGAAGGAAATGTCACTCAGAATTGCCGAGGAAAAGAAGGGCAGTTGGGGGGGGGGGGTGTTACCAAACACTGCTCAAGGAAGTGCTGTGCTTTTAGTTCCGTTAAATGACAATTGCTCAGTTTCTATCGTCTAAGAGAGCAGTTCTTCTACATTTAAAACATTCTGAAGTTTAAAACTTTGTTTACGATTTTTGTTTCAGAGAAGCTTACATATATTTTTATCAAGTGAAAACTCGATCATTAAAAGATACTTTCATAAATCGATTAGTCTGTCAAATGGTCTTGGTGCTGGCCGTGAGTGTTTTATTTTGTTCTTCGCAAGTTAGATTCCTTCAAGAACCATTTTAATATTTATCAAAAACACCATGAGAATATTTTGTCGACCTTTACTGAATAATCCATTCAACAAAAATAAAAAAAAGGGGGGGGGGGTACAGTACTTGTATTTCCAGAAGTTGCATGTTAAGTTATTTATTATTATTCCAATAACTGTCATCCTCATCGGAAAGTCTAAAACGAATTAAACAAAAGTAATAGCATAACATGTCTTTGCCTCCTGAATTTTGTAAAGACAAATAATTAAGAGATTACACACACATTTCGTCCTCCTTTGACTCGCGCATCAAGCCTTGGATTTCGGTTAAATGAAATATAGTCATACTGTGTTTTGTATATTTTTATCTGATACCATTTTAATTTACTGAGTATGTAAAATTAGAGGTGAAAATCATGTTACAAAAATCTAAGGTAACGTATAACATGTATGTATGCATCTCAATACATGTACCTGCAATTCCATCTGTATTTAAAACAATAGAAGTGTCTGATGAGACTGAAGCTTTACTGTTTTGTACTTAAGGGCATTAGCAAGGTTCCTGGATATTGTATAGAAGTCTCTTCAGCAGGTTTAATGGTAATAAATTGCCCCCCCCCCCCCGAAATAAGTTTTGCAAGTTTTGGTATTTTCCTTTTATTTGTTTTCTTTTTTCAGGGAAGGGGGTATGCTTGTCAAAATTTTTCAGACGTCATCAATTATCCCCCATTTCTTGAAAAACGATGCTTCGTGCCTGGTTTATTCCTCATGATGCCAGCAAATCATTTGTGAATTCTTTTGAATGATTTTTTTTTCTTTGTGCAATCCAGATAAAAAGTTTTGAAGTCATGGATTTTGTGGCCACAAACATGAATTAATGCTTTACCCTTTGTCTGTAAGAATTAGCATATAGTTACTTGGACGATCATCCCTCTCCCCCCCCCCCTTTTTTTTAAACACATGATCAATCCACTCTGTAAAGTGTGCTTGATAGTGTTTTCACACAAAACGTCATATATCTAATGTACTGTCATTTCATTTTTAAGTGATTATGCTTTGCGCTTCATTTTCAAGCCCCTGTTTAATACACAAATAAGGCAGATGAAGATTTTTTTTTTTGAAAGTAAAGATAATATTTGAATATCCTGTGAACTCTAGTTTAATGAATTACAAACACAAATACTAGCATTTGTTTAATATTTTTAACTAGTGATTATATACATGTACTTCATTTTGAGTTAGTCGTTAGGGTGGCGAAGTGGTTAGAACGTCTGCTCTAGAGTTGCGGAGTAGTTGATCCTTACGTCGCAGGTTCGAATCCACTAAGGGACGTGGAGACCAGTCCTTCGAATAAGACTATATAAACCGAGGATTCATGTCGCAGTAGGTGCTGGCACGAAAAAGATCTTCTACTGCTCAATGGCCCTAAGTGCCT